CTGGGCGGGCCGGGGGTGCTCGGGCCCGGGGCCGGCACCCCAGGGCCCGAGCCGACCCAGGCTGGAGCCGCCGGGGGGGGCCAGCCTGGGCCGCGCCTCCTCCCCCCACACCCCGCTTACCTGCTTCAGGCTTCCCGCGACTCAAATGTTCGTGGGAAGCAGGGGAGGGGGCGGAGACTTTGGGGAGGGGCGGAGTTGGGGCGTGGGTGTGGGCGGGGCTGGGGGCGGGGCCGGGGCCCCATGGAGTGTCCTCCATTTGGAGGCACAAAATATGGTAACCCTAGGTAAAGGAGGAGGGAGGTGCCTCATGAACTGGTCTTAGTGTTCACCCCCAAAGTGAGAAAACTGTAGTAATTGGGGAAATTGCCCTTGATTGCTCCTTTTTTATGCTGTGTCACACTCAGTTAAAGGCAGGAGGCAGATTTCAGTTCAAGCAATGATGTGTGAGGATCAAAAGTATATAAGTCCATTGTGGGCCTGTGTGGACGCTGCTAGAGTGCAGTGAAAGTCCCAGATAGTATACGGGGAAAGCCCTGCAGTTCAGCATACTTAACTTTGAAGCAGTAGTACATTTAGCTGCACTCTAGGACTTTCAGTGCAGTGTAGCAGTGTCCACACCAGACATTACTACGTGCCAAGCTGGTGTGCTGGAGATTCACACCTTGGCTTGCTGTGCAGTAACTTGCCACACAGATAAGTCCAGAGATAGGTTCGGGGTAAATATCCATGATTGCTCCCTTATGTTCAGATCCTGCAAATGGTATAATAGGACTATTCACCTGGGTAAAGTTATGGTCGTGTGTAAGTGTTTGCAGGATCGGGTATTAAGTGATGAGCTAAACTTGTACAACTTCTCTTCTTCTTCGAGTGATTGCTCAGGTGTATTCCACAGTAGGTGTGCGTGCTCGCCACGTGCACCGGTGCTGGAAGTTTTTCCCTTAGCAGTACGCGTAGCGGGGAAGCCCCGCTGCGACCCCTGGAGTGGCGCCTGTATATCGCGCCGTAAAGGGGGCTGCATGCTCCCCCCACCCTCAGTTTCTTCTTGCCGCCAGTGAAGGTAGTCGGAACTTCTGCTCCAGCAATTGCTGTAGCTTCTATCCTTGGTAGTACCTCGATCGTTACTAGTTCTGCAGTTAGTAGCCTGGCCCGGGGCATGCCCTGAGCCCCAGGCTTCAAGTCGTGCGACTCCTGTCGCAATTCCATGCCCAGAAGCGATCCACATTACTAGTGTCTTCGCTGTTAGGGCGAGGCTCACATAAGTGAGCGGTGTAAAATTTGCAAGTCCTTTAAGCCCCGGATGAAACGCGAACGCGAGATCTGACTCCGGGCCCTACTTATGGAATCGGCATTGGCCACGGCACCGGCGTGCTGACCCGACCTGGCGCTGGGCACCGCGTCCTAGGTGCGGAGCGATGCCCCATCCACCAGTCGGCACCACTCCCCGGTCAAGAAACAGGGCAAGTCCCAACGATGCCGAGATAAGGACAGGGGTGAGGCCGGACCTGAGTTGGGCAGCCCACGATTCCCCTCGGGACCCAGACCGCCGACTCATGCGGAGCGGAGTAGTCCGGTCCCATCCGCGCGTGCCTCCCCGCCGATAAGGGTTCCTTCCACGCCGGAGGCAGCCCAGGCGGTGCGCGATGTCCTCGTCATGCCGGTACCGAGCGGGCTGCCAGAGCTGGGGCCCTGGTCCCGAGGGAAGCCGCTGTTGGGCGCCCAGCCCTCACCGGCCAGGTCGGTTATCGATGCCTCCATTCAATCCGCTGGCCCCTCCCATAGCCCCCGACAGACCTCCACTCCGTTGTCGGGGTCACCTGGGAGCAAGTCGCCTGAGTCTTCCTCGACCCATAGAGGCTGCAGGCACCGGGACAGAAAGCGTCGATGCTCCTCGTCCAGTGATAGCAGGTCTTGACGACGCCAGCACCACTGGTCATAGCGGGACGATCGCCATGCTCAGAGTGCATCCCGGCAGTCACCGGCACCGCGGCACTGTGCTCGGAGCCACCAACGGGACTCCAGGGATACTACCTCCGACGTCTACTTCTCGTCGTCGTCGAGGTTGAAATCCTGGGGCAGGACCCGACGTGGATGGCACCGGTTGAGCCGCTCCTACGGCATCGTGTGCTCCTCGGCCACCTCTGCCTCGGCCCCCCAGGCGTCCTTCCCCGGGCCGCACCGTTCCCTAGGAACAGATAACCCTGGTGGGACCCCAGACGGCACAGTGGCAAGGGGTGCCCTGGCAAGGACAGTGGTGCCAGTGGGCACCGTGGCCCCAGGCGCCCGCACCGCCGAGGCCCTACTCTGTGGCTGGGGCATCCCAAGCCCACTCTGCGTCCCCACCTCAGCACCGAGAGCAGTCCTCGGGTGCCGCACTACCAGCACCACACCCAGACCCGGACGCGGAATGTGACCTATCGGCACCGCCCGATGCACTAAGGGCCATCCCGGTTGCCCCGTCGGCACCGGATGAGTCCATAGTGGCACCGCCCCCTCCTTCTCAGGAGGATTTCAAGGTGCACCAGGAGCTCCTCCGGCGTGTTGCCGCCCATCTACAGCTGCAGGTGGAGGAGATGGAGGAGCCGTCTGACAATTTGTTCAATGTCCTCTCTTCCTCGGCACCGGGACGTGTGGCACTGCCGCTTCACCAGGGGGTGGCCAACATCTCGACTGGCCTATGGCAAATCCCGTCCTCTCTTCTGCCCATCTCCAAGAAGGCGGAACAGAAGTACTTTGTGCCAACGAAGGGGCATAAGTACCTCTATACCCACCCTACCCCAAACTCATTGGTGGTGGAGTCAGTCTACCACTGTGAACGGTACGGTCAGCCCGTACCAACCCCTAAGGATAAGGAGGCCAGGAGACTGGACACTTTTGGGAAAAAAGGTTTATTCCTCTGCCAGTTTCCAGCTCAGAGTGGCGAACCATCAAGCACTCCTCAGCAGGTTTGACTTTAACTTGTGGGGCTCTTTGCCAAAATTCGAGCCTTCCCTTCAAGAGCAGGACAGGAAGGAGTTCAGGGCGCTACTTGATGAGGGTGCGGCGGTAGCGAAAGCAGCTCTCCAGGCTGCCTCGGACGCAGCTGACACGGCGGCTCGTTCGATGGCCACAGCGATCTCCATGAGACGGGCGTCGTGGCTTTCCCTGTCGGGGCTGTCAGTGGAGTCCCAGGCTCTGATGCAGGACCTGCCATTTGATGGCAAAGCATTATTCGCAGACCAGACAGACACCCATCTGCACAGGATGAAGGACTCCTGCACCACCCTGCAGACACTCTGTCTCTATGTCCTGCCGGCCAAGGACAAGCCCAGACTGCAGCCCTTGCCTCCCCCTGCACGAGGCAGATACGAGCCCCCACCCAAGAGGCCTAGGGACCAGAGGCGCAGGTCGCAGTGTCAATCCCGCTCGGCCCCACACCACGAACCCTCGAAAGGCAAGAGGCATTTTTGACTGTTTGCAGGGGGCCACCCCGGCCTGTTGCCAGGGAACCCCCCCCCCAGTTAATAAAGTTAGTTTTTGGCAATCATTTGGCCTTCAGGGTACATTGGTCCCGTATAACGTCGGACCGGTGGGTCCGCAGTACCATCTCCGAGGGGTACAGGCTGCAATTTGTTTCAACCCCACTGCACCATCCTCCACCCCAGGATGCCCCGGGGGACCCAGAGTACGCCCTTCTGTTAAGTCAGGAGGTGACGTGCCTCCTCACCATAGGCACGGTGGAGACGGTACCTCAGGAATTCCGGGGCAAGGGGTTTTACTCCCGGTATTTCCTGATCCCGAAGGCGAAAGGCGGTCTCAGGCCCATCCTTGACCTGTGGCATCTCAACCAGTTTCTGGTTCGCTGTAAATTCCGTATGGTGTCCCTAGCCTCTATTGTCCTGTCCCTGGACCAGGGGGATTGGTTTGCAGCCCCGGACCTCCAGGATGCGTACTTCCATATCCACATTTTCGAGGGCCACAGGCGCTTCCTATGCTTCCTGGTAGGGACGGACTACTACCAGTTTACGGTCCTCCCCTTTGGTCTTTCTACGGCCCCCAGGGTTTTCACCAAATGTATGGCGGTGGTTGCAGCCCACCTCAGGAGGAACGGGCTACAGATCTTCCCCTACCTGGACGACTGGCTGCTCAAGGGCAAGTCTCGGTCCCAGGTGCAGGCGCAGGTGGAATTCCTGCTAGACACCTGCAGGAGTTTAGGCCTAGTGGTAAATGAGGGGAAATCCACGTTGCCCTAGTCCAGCGCATACACTTCATAGGGGGCGCTGTTAGACTCGCTGGGGGCCACGGCCTCCCTCCCCCGGGACAGGTTCGAGACGCTCAAAGGCCTCATGGCCTCGGTCATGGCGAGCACACACACCTACTGTGGAATACACCTGAGCAACACATCTCGAAGAACGCCAGTTACAGAACAGGTAACTGTCCTTTTTTAACCTACACAGTCACTGTGTGGCTAACAAATATGGGACTGTCTTTTTGTTCTGTGTTTGCACAGCACCCAACACAGTGGGGTCCTAGTCCATCACGGGGTGGATGCAAACAATCAATTTCTGTGTATAGTAGTTAAAATTAAAATCAGTTCTGACTAAGGATTCCAAGAATGTTTCCATTTTCCAACTCATCCATGGTCTTACGTCTTTCGAGGAGGGTTGGGGGAGGCGAGAAGCATACAACTTCTTATGTGGCTCACTTGAAACAAATGGGTGCACATATTCAATGAGAGGGGATTGATAAAAGGGTCACTTGTTCATTTCATCAGCTCCATAAAAGTGCCGTTTTCTTATGAACCCATCAGTGTTACTTTCCTGTTATAATGTTTAATGCTGTTTTTCCTTTAACTAGGTTGTTCTCTCTCACACTGTGAAACTGATGCAGGAAAACAAAAGTGCTATGAATAAAACCTTAGGGGAGCTTAAGAAGAGTGAGAATCAACTCCAGGTTTGTCCCTGGATTATTCAAAGTATCTTTCTTTAATGACTTGTAAGAAAAAAAAAATGATGGCATCTCTGATCAATGTTCTCTAGCAACCCCTTCTGACTGTGAAGATGACATAATAAATCTATATTAATAATACCCCACTATGGGGCTCTGCAGGTCATGAAACTGCAACTTAAAAAACAAAACCACCATAAATGTGAAGAAAAATGACAGAGGCAAAGAATATTTGTTTGCATTCTGTAGTGTCTTTCTTCCACAGACCTCAAAGTACTTTGGCGCTGAATGTGCAACCCTAATTCACATTTGTGAGCAGTTACTCACATAAGTAGTCCCACTGAAGAAGTCTAGCCATTTGCAATAATTAATTAATTAATTTTCACAATGTTCCCAGTGTAAGTTATATATAATATAATTAATATAAAAAATATATATGGAGATACCCTATCTCCTAGAACTGGAAGGGACCCTGAAGGGTCATTGAGTCCAGCCCCCTGCCTTCACTAGCAGGACCAAGTTAGCTGATCATTATTATTCTCATCCCCATTTTTGCTTTATCCCCATTATCTTATCCCTCATTTACAAATGAGTAAACTGAAGAGCAGAGAGGTTAAGTGTCTTAGGCAAAATCACACAACCAAGTCAGAAATAGAACCCAGGATTCTGACTCCCAGCTCCCTTGTCAAATCACTACACACACTTAATCAATCCCATTGCATTGTTCTTAAAGCTCTCTTTCTCTGTTAAAAGAGGAGTTGTACGTAAGTATGGGATTTTCAGAGTAAACCAATGCAATTCTCAGACTATAATGACCTATCTGTACTTTCTCCGCTTTATTCCCTTTCATCACACCCAGATAATTTTCAGATTACGCTGATTACTTGGCTGTGCCGAGGAAAAGTGAAACGTACTTATTGTCCACTTCATTCTTAAATCTGGTATTGCAAAATGTTGGGTATAATAATGATAATTAATAAATAAACACACTAAGCTGTGGTACTGAATTCCTGAGCCAGCACCTTATTTGTTTACCTGTTCTTTTAGCTCAATAAGAAAACTTTGAATGCTCAGCTGTCAAACCTCTTCAAAGAGATCAAGGCACAGGTGGATCAGAAGGAGAAGCAGATCCTGGCTGACATACAATCCAGTGAAAAAAAGCAGCTGTCAGAGATTGCCACACTGAAGAAGCAAACAGAAAAGAAGAGAGATGAGGCTGAGAAGGGTCTTCAGGACCTGCAGATGCTGAGAGCGCAAACAGACCCTTTCCACTTCCTCAGAGTAAGCAGCAGCATTTAGCTCTGATTTAATAAATGAACATTCAAGATGTTGCTCTTGCTCTGCACTGCACTAAAACTATTCTTTTAAATATTTTTATAGGAATTTAAACTGGCACAAGACAGGTAAGTTCTCCCCCAAAAGGTTTGTCTTATTCCTTGGCACAATAGGGAGCTGACAACTCTAAAAACTCAAAAGACTTCTCTGTATCCTTAGTCTTCATTCTGTATCCCAATGCCCCTCAAATCAAGGCCTGGTCTTGAGTCAGAATTCACCACTCCCCAAATACAGGTGGATAATGATTCACCTGTAACTTCAATAGTGCCCTGTTAGTTTTCAATGTCCTGAACCACTGCCTTGATTACCCACCTAAGGAAAGCCACTGGAGCTTATTAGCTCATAGTTGTATTTTCCAGAGGTGAGCACAGTGTAGGGTTCAATTGTATTGAGAATGATGCTTTGTCATGTGTATGCAGCCTTGTATGATGTGCTTGGGCGAAACTACTGCACTTAGAACAAGGTGCAGGGCTCCATTTTTGGGTTAGGGGTTAACCGTCTCATTTGGCTCAGTTTGGAGTCTCATCACTCTCCCAGCAGCTGGGCTGCCCGTTCTGCTTGAGGACGGTCATAGTAGTTTTAGTGGTGTTGATGCCTCCTGTTGCAAGTGGCCCAGGTGGTTAGTAAGTTTCTTATTGGCACACCTATCTGCTATGGTTATCAGTACAAAAAACTAATAATCATCTGAGCAATATCACAGACTTGTTGTGGCGCAGTGAGGTGATAAAAAGTCCCTTGGAGGGTCACGTAGCGATTTGAATTTTAAAATGTCACCTTTGCACTTTGTAAGAATCAGGGTTAGACTGTGACTTGGACTATGTTTTCTGTTTTGTTTTCTGTTTATGCTGCTTCCAAAGTGACTTAAGCGACACCAGAAAGGGCACTTTTATATCAGGGTAAGAGTAGCCACATGGAGAATATAACTATAGCGGTACAATTCTACCAATATAGTAGTGTCAGTAAATTGCCCATGTCGACAAGCCCTGAGAGGGTATGAATTGTAGCGCTGAGTCACAATGCCCTCCAGGGCTACTTTTCGGACGATGCACCTTACACACCTCAGAGCTCGCAGCTGTATCTAAAATCAAAATCTAACCTCTAGGGAATAAGTCATTTCCCAGAAGCTTAACCAGTTTAATATGTCTGGCATGTTCCTTTCACCACATTGGTGGTTACACAGCAGTAATAATAATATTCAGTAATGTTTAGAAAAAAAGTAGCCCTATTTTTCATCAGACAGTTTCAAAATTTGAATATTTGCACCCAGTGGTAATCAATAGCAATACTACCCAGCAGATTGAGGGACGTGATCATTCCCCTCTATTCAACATTGGTGAGGCCTCATCTGGAGTACGGTGTCCAGTTTTGGGCCCCACACTGCAAGAAGAATGTGGAAAAATTGGAAAGAGTCCAGCGGAGGGCAACAAAAATGATTAGGGATCTGGAGCACATGACTTAAGAGGAGAGGCTGAGGGAACTGGGATTGTTTAGTCTGCAGAAGAGAAGAATGAGGGGGGATTTGATAGCTGCTTTCAACTACCTGAAAGGGGGTTCCAAAGAGGATGGATCTATACTGTTCTCAGTGGTACCAGATGACAGAACAAGGAGTAATGGTCTCAAGTTGCAGTGGGGGAGGTTTAGGTTGGATATTAGGAAAAACTTTTTCACTAGGAGGGTGGTGAAGCACTGGAATGGGTTACCTAGGGCCGTGGTGGAATCTCCTTCCATAGAGGTTTTTAAGGTTAGGCTTGACAAAGCCCTGGCTGGGATGATTTAGTTGGGGATTGGTCCTGCTTTGAGCCGGGGGTTGGTCCTGCTTTGAGCAGGGGGTTGGACTAGATGACCTCCTGAGGTCCCTTCCAACCCTGATAGTCTATGATTCTATGATAATGTTACTAATAATAACTGTAAGAGTAATCGTCATGCAGAACACTTCTTTAGTACTTTATGTTGCCGAAGTGCTCTCCTCTCTGTATATTTTCTGCTAATTACTAGATACCTACCTAACTTTAGAGATAGTCAACTTTATAATTGTTAATTGGTGATCACTGATTGAATGACTGTCTGGGTATTCTAGGATTAATAATCAGGATTTCAGGACTGACAGCATGGAAGTATTAGCACTGCAGCTGGATCAGGCAACAATTGCTGATGTTAGACGCTGGACACAGCAGTATATCTCAAACCTAGATTCACAAATGCAAGAGGTGCACCGTAAGTAAACTACCCAAATGAGTAACAGAACATTACTGGCCACCTTTTATCAAGGACTGTCAATAGCTCCCTGATTTATTCAACTGAGCATTACTTGTGTGCTGCAAATTTTGATCCTTCTCCATAGTGGCCAGGATGTGGATGTCTGCCATCTGCCATGGTGCCCTGTCCCCTCAGCCCCTCCCTGCAATCAGTTTCCATCTGCCCCAGCATTCCAGACCTCACCCTCTATCAGACCTTTAGGGACCACTCCATGTGTTTGCCCAGTGGACCCATATTTTCAAATCTGCCTCTGATAATGGGATCAAGACCCCACAGCAACACATTCCAAATGACTGTTTATATTGTGAATACACTGCCAGCCTTCTAAGACATTCTCTCAACCCTTGCAGGTCAGTTCATTAACCAAACACAGAGGAACAGGTAAAAATCCCTTTCTTCTCTTCACTTTTGCAATATTCACTGCAAATGCCACTAAACAGCCTTTGTATTTTCCAGAAGTTCACAGCTCTTCATTGGAAGGCCATTATGTATTGGGCTAAAGGGACAGATTTCACTGCTTTTATCCTCCTTCAGAACTGGACCTGCACTGATGCTGCAAACATTCCCCACAAACATTTGTTCACATTGTTAAACAGATTTGCTTTGAGTGTATCTGTGCCTCTTTGCTTTCCCCGAATACTCTAGTGAAGGGGTTCGCCAGCAGAAGCGCTCCCCGAAACAGCATACTTAAATTCATATAGCAGAGTATTTGTGGAAAGTCGAGTGTGAATGCAAAAGGCGAGAATTCACCATGGCCACCTAATTCTAAGACTTACTGTCTGGAGTTATTCACGGCCGGGAGTGTCAGCCTTAGTGCAGACTGTCATAAAGCAGGGCAGACACCCCAAGCTGGCTTATGTGCTATAATTAGATTTCACCAACCCAGAAACAAAAGTTGAACTCCTGAAGCACAACAGTTTTACCATGGAGTCACAGACAGCCCCCTTGGGCACTCCAGTCTATCTTGCCACACAGTCGAGCTGGACTTAGTGATAAATGGTCACTTACACCAAAGATCACAAAAGATTCAGGTTTCTCCCAGTCCCAAGAGAGCAATCACTTACGCCAGGTCAATTTGTACCTCAGATCTCACACCAAAGACAACGCTTATAGCCAATCCTATAATTAACTAACTAAGGATTTATTAACTAGGAAAAAGAAATGAGAGAGTTATTTACAGGATAAAGCAGGCAACATATACACACATATGAGGTACAGTCTATGGTTCCAAAAGGTGGCAGAGCTGTAGTAATCTGTCAGCACTGAATGTCTTTTAGGGCTAACCCAGGTCTACCCTGGGGATCTCTGCTTTTATTTCTTAGCGCCAGCCCTGTGAGAGTCCAGACAGCAAAGAGATGAGGAATTTTCATGCCAGTTATCTTTATTGCCTATCTTTGTATTGTGATGGTTCACAATGGCCCACTTAGTATTGATAGTCCTCCTCGATGGGCGGGGGAACCACTCCTCCTGCCTGAGTTCACAAGTTCAGAGCAGGCATTTTTACAGTTATAAAGCAAAACTTACATATGACCTTATTAGAGAGACCAGGTGGGTGAAGTAATATCTTTTACTGGATCAACTTCTGTTGGTGAGAGAGACAAGCTTACAAAGATTGTCTCCCACCAATAGAAGTTGGTCAAATTAAAGGTATTACTTCACCCACCTTGTCTCTCTAGTATCCTGGGACCAACATGGCTACAAGTACTCTGCATACACATTACGTTATAGCATGAGATACAGATATTAGTAAGATTAATGCATGCAGCAACTTACAAGCATATTATAGTGTCTAAAACACATCCTTATGAGTCTAATATCGATCTGAAGCAATACTAACATACAGGTGAGCCGGTCTGGTTTCCAGCTAGGAATTTATTGATGCTCAGCTGGCACCTACAGCCTTGGCAATAGCTGGCACCTGGTCCACCAGTGTCACAGTTACATTCCTCCAACCAGACTCATGATTGGCATCCAGGGTAGGAACAGGCCCTCGAAGGTTGTTCTTCTTTTCAAAACAATGGGCTTTGCATGTCTCTGTCTCTTAATGAATTTATTTCACACCCAACTCCATCCCCAAAGTGCAGCTCATGTTTTAATGGACATTGATATTCAGTGTTGTCTCTTGACATACAGAGCAGCTCCATACTCCAGAGATGATTTACTTTATCAAGGTAAGTGTTCAAAAATATTGTTGCTCTTAAAGACTCTGGTCTATATCTCCTCTCTGGAGGGAAGGTATCTCACCTGCATTTTGTATTGTGCATCTCTGTCAGATCTTCCTGTCAGAGGAGAGGCCAGTGGGAATGCAGAGGACAGGTAGAGGGCATGGTCCTCAAAATCTGCACCAGGCTGACATCTGCTAGAAAACACACAGGAGACATCCTGGAACCTAGGCTTTAGGGAGGGATTCCTTCTGCTTCAATGCTCCTTAAGGGCCTGAGCTAGCTCCCAGGAAAGACTATGCAGACTCCCTCTGACTATAACAGAAGGTGGATGAAGTCTGTAAAGATCGGGCCTAGTTATTGGGTTGCCACTGAACAGTAATGTGGGTGGGAATATAGGCTCAGATTTCAAGAAGTGTCTATGCATTTGCATGCCTATTTTATGTGCAAAATTATTACTATAACTGCCTTTTCTCCTTCAGTGTTTTTACTGCAGAGTGAATGGGGCATGGCTGCTATTTTCCCTCATTCAGTGAGCCCCTTAACAGCTTCTCAGTGGCTGAGGCATCCTCCCCATTACACAGCTAAGTTAGCCATCCATGTGGATGTGCGATGCAGCCTTCTTTCCTTTAGCTACTCCCATGAGGTTATGCTCACTAATAGAGTAAAATATTTTTACTGTCTTGCCCTTTATGCTTCAGAAAATACAGAAGTAACTTCAGATTGACTCTTGTAAAGGAGATGAATCTAATCCAATGTTTCATAAATAACAAAAGCTAAGTAGCAAAATGTTAACTGAAGCATATGAAGATCTAGGTCAGGGATTGGCAACCTTTGGCACGCGGCCTGCCAGGTTACGGCCCCTAGTGGGCCAGGCCTGTTTGTTTACCTGCCGCGTCCGCAGGTTCAGCCAATCGCAGCTCCCACTGTCCGTGGTTCGCTGCTCCAGGCCAATGGGGGCTGCGGGAAGTGGCGCGGGCCAAAGGATGTGCTGGCCGGCGCTTCCCGCAGCCCCCATTGGCCTGGAGTGGCAAACCACGGCCAGTGGGAGCCACGATCAGCCAAACCTGCGGGGGGCTTACTCTGGCGGGCCGCGTGCCAAAGGTTGCCGATCTCTGATCTAGGTGAAATGCTGGTCCCAGTGAACCCAAGGGAAGCTTTACCATTGACTTCAATGAGGCCAAAATTTCACCCCCTGATCTTACATCCATGCTACTTTGGGCTGTTATTTTTGTCAGAATTTATAAGATTAGCAGGATTAAGCCTCTAGATTGGAGACTTCCAAGAAAAACCTAAGTGCGGCAGGACATGATGTCAGTGATTCATAGCATTCTCTTTCAGTTGCTACTAATCCAGTGCCCAAACAGTGCAGCTGGTTGGAAAATAGTGAGTTGTTTCTGTGAAAATATTTGCAAAAACATATATTTTTATGGATGTTTTCCAGGTTTGGGGCAAAAAATAGAAAATGGAAGCCTTTTCAGTTTTCAAACATTGTTTCATTGAAAACCCAGAGCATTTAAAAAAGAAATGAAAATTTTCCTCAAAAATTTTGGTTTGGGGGGGGAAGGGGGAAGGTCATTTTCCATCTAAACCTGTTTCTGATGGAAAAATATCAGCCAGTTCTACTCAACAGGGTGGTGGTAACATTTTATTTCAAAGGGGCTACCTGTGGGATAGCAGCTCACCAGTGGGAGGAAGGGTTCACAATTTAGTCCTAAGTATGATTACATTTCCCTGAAATATTTGGTTGTTTTGCCAGGTAATCTATACTCGTTTGTCTTCCAAAATCAAGCATCTGATTTTTTTGGAACTACTCCATTTCCATGGAAATAGACTGGGAACACAAGGCAGTGAATGCAGGTAAGGTACTAAGAGGATTTTATTAATTACAGAGTAATTCAACAGTATCCCTGTCCTCTCGTTAGTACCCACCCTGCCCCAGACATTATAATAAGTGTTTAAAACAGCTTGCTATATTTTTCTAAGACACTATTTTGTCAAGACCCTATTTATCAGCTGAGCATTTTAACACAATAGTCTTGTCTAATTAACTGTGTTTAAAGAAAGCCATAACTCATTATTAGGGCTCTGTGTCTGTAATGTAGTTTTGGTTATGAGACAAGTTTTCTGTTAGGGTCAAACTAAATGTTCCATGCAGAACAAGAACCTAACTGAAATGAGAAAGCAGGAGAAAACACTGGACAAGATGAAATGCTAAATAGCCCTTAAGAAATGTTGCTAACGTACTAATACAAATATAATTCATTATTGAGGGTGACAAAGTGAATCTTCTCAATCTTTTATATTTCTAGAACATACAACGAAAGGAAAGGATGTGGTGTCTGAAATAGTGGTTCCCAGCATGGTACATTATTCCCAGAAGTAATAAAGAGACATGAAAAAAGTTGGGGAAACGGAGACCAAAGAGATTAAATTCAACATTTTCAAAAATGTCCATTAATTCTGGGTACTTTTCAAGTGTCCCTGCCAAAAAAACTTCCTGCAGCCAATAAAAATATAGAATATGAATGCAAAGAATTAAACATGAATGCAGCAAAAAAGCCCATGTGGCTTGTCTTTCTCCCTTTCTCACCAACACGTGGAATTGCTTGTTTCAGAGTATTTACCAACCAAGCTATAGTCGTGTCACCAGTGATTAGTCTGACTAAATAGTGGCTGTATGTGTGTTAGCTTTTGACTTCTGTTCATTGTGTTTTGGAGCAATTCAATAAATGATTAAAAACATGTAAAGTCAGTGCTATAGTAGTTCATGCTATTAAGCAGATTTCTAGTATTCAAGACGTGTCTGCTTACAGTTGACTACAGTAAACAAGGCAGGACTTCAGGAAGCTGTACAGTGCAGTACCATATAGTAATCCTATGAAGAAAATTTTGTAAAAGGACTCCCCAGTTCACAAGAAGCACACTTCACTTACAGTACTGCAGGCTGGCAATGTGCTGCTTTATTTAACTATATACAAAAACAGGATTGTGGGGGGGACCACAGGAAATGAGGGGTAGAGCATGGCCCAACCCATAATACTCTACCCAGTTAACCCTTGGATGACCACTGTACTACATCCCTCTCTTCTGAATTTACACTCCAAATGTAGTTTTCTAAATAACCAGGGTCTCTTCTCTCTCTCGTGGGATAGCGCCTCTCTGGGGCAGCTCAGGCAGACTGGGAACCTGCTGCTTTATTCAACTATATATAAACAGGGTGCGGAGAAAACACACACTAATTAAACAGGAATTAAGGTAGCGGGGGAGCATGGCTCCAACCTATAATACGCTGAGTAATCCAATTAACCCCTAAATACCCACTGTATGAGAGAAAATATTTTGAAAACTTGCCATAAAGAGTGAGCATCATAATTGTTTTTATATCGAAGCCTTCAGAATGGGAACACACTGGAGCTTAGGCAGCCTCCAAACCAATCTTTAACACGATTGCTACAGACAAGTCAAAGAGCCAGCAGCAAATAAGGGGAATGTACCAAAAAGACCTGCTCTACCAGAGGTTTTCTTCTGGTCTGACATGCTAAAATGCCACTGTATTTCTTTCACAATCCTGCCCGACCTTGATTCCTTGAGAAGCATTCCGCATTTCAGTACAAGTAACTGCTGCATTATTTGTAAGAATGTCTAGACAATGCCCATTTAGTTCCAGGTAGGAGCCATATGAGTTTCTTTTAGACATCAGAACAAAGCGTGAAATTACTCCAAGACCCCTATTAAGTCCATGTTTCGTGTCCACGTCCCAGTAATGGTGGCCTGGAGAGAAAACGTGAACTGAGAATCCCCTTCAGTTTGCCCAAACTGTACCTCTTCCTAGTAACTGTTGTCCGATTGTTTGAGATGGTGAGTCCTGGCTCTTGTTCCTTACTTCCAAAAGTCAGGTCAACACCAGCTGTAGAAGGAAAAGTAAATCTATTTTTTACCACTAGCCCACTCAGATGTATTTGTTTAATATCAAATCTTACAATTATGAAAAAAGAAGGGGGAAAAATGAACAAACACAAATCTCCCATCGCAGGTTTGTAAAATACAGCCTTTAGGCCGGCTCCTCTGCTGGTGTGAACGGGTGGAGCTGCTTCCAAGCTGCAGCAGGGAAGGAATAGCAGCTACTCAGAGCACTCCTGGCTCACGCTGGAGCTGCTCCTGAAGTAGGGGCACGGGAGAAGTGGTGGGACAGCTGGTGAGGCAACAACCCTTTCCTCTTCCCCATAGTTGTGGGGCTGATTCAGACACGCCGATGTAAAAGCTGCACTGCACAGCTCAGGGACATGGTTTCAATTCATAATCAAATACACAATTTCTTCCCATGCCATCACCTTTGAGGACCACAATTCAGAGCCTTGAGAGCCGCAAATATTCCCCAGGCTACAGATTGGACACTCTTGACCTAGTGGGAAATTCACCCCAGTGCAGAGGAAGGCCTATGCCCCATCTAAGTGCCAGTTAAGGCCTATTTTGATTAAACTGATTCCTAGCTCTATTAGCTGCATTTGTGTTCATTTTGACTGAAACGGCTCGAGAGTTTATCTGAGTTCCAGAAATAGGCCACGTATCGAGAGATGTTACCAAATAATCATGTAAACAATCAGGACTCCCGAGCAGGGCTAATGAAGGAACAGATTAAGACGTGTGCATGCCAGCGGAGATGCTAGTATAGAGTGCAGCAAGGTGAATCATTCTCTTACCAAGCACGTGGCCCAAGCGTGTTACAATACGATCAAATGAAGCCATAAGGTGCTTCATGGCCTCAGATCAGGCCCTGGCCTTCATCACTTCTTGACTAGGCTAGTGCATGGCATGCTACCTGGGAGTGACTGTGAAGGTTGCACTGAGATGAACTAGCCCAGCATGCTGCTGTCTACTGCCTCAGTGGAATGAGCCAGAGAAAGAACATCACATGGGTTGCTGTACGCTCTGTGCTCCCTATCCAGTCTGAAGCCAATTCAAAGTTTTGTTCTTGATTTTTCAAGGCCATTGATGGATAGGCTCAAGTGATTTTGGCTGACCACCTTTCGCTGCATGACACACCGTGGCTGCCGCAATCAGTTGGGCTGTCCTCCATAGTGACGTTCACAGAGGCTGGGGGCATAATGTTCTCAGTCATGTTCTTCTGGCCTGTGATACTCCCTCCCCAATATGCAATAAAGACCCACCTCTTTGTGCAGGTCTAGTCCCAATAACACAGATACAGAATGACTGAGGTGTTGAGGAAGTAGGGTGGGAAAGTTTGCCTTTGGAGACAGAATCAATGTGGTTCCTTTTTTTTTATGGCACTTAGTGCAGAGTTAGTGGTGCTAGAAATGAAACACACACATAGGCAGAGAGACAGCTCATATTTAGATTACCATTCATTACATTTTAATTATTTTAGGACACTAATAAATTATCTCAATCTTTTAATCATTTTTAAATGTAGATAATTATTTAACTATTTAGGACACCAAAGAACTGGTTTAATTTGTTCTACAACTTCCATGGTAGTCTCCAAATGAGATTTGACAGGCCCAACCACTCAAGATCAAGAGACAAGACATTTTCTGCCTTGGTGTTTTGAACCCTGCTGTGCTCTTTCCTCATGCATCCCTGTTATCCTGCTTCCACAGCTGAATTCACAGACACTGTCAGCTCTGTTCACATTTTGGTCTGGACTCAATGGGCCATGTTCTTTGGAAAGTTGAGAGTTCGCTACCCACTAATGGCACAGATTCAACAAGCAGGCTCACAACTGGGTATTGCTTCTTCTCAAAACCTGCCAAATGAAATGTTGGAAAACAAAAGAAAATGATGAAAACAACATCTCCAAAACAAGACTGTGAAGAAATATTCCCCAGGATTGTCAATGGAACATTGTTCAGAATTTAGTTTCTAGGGTTGATGTTTGCAGCCTTTAGGTTAACCTGGTGTCATTCTCATTAAATTAGGGTTTAGGGACTAAACTACCATACAGAAAGCGTATTAACTGAATTATGCCTTACAGAACATGCTCAAAAAGGTAAATAGAGAGTTATAAAGAGAGATTCCAGCCATTTTTCACACCCTCTTCATGAAGTCAACTTTGTTTTATAACCGCTTTGGCATGAAATGTATTGCGCAGTTGAGATCAAAGCTGCAGATTTTCCAGCCACCCCGCGTGTCTCTGAATCACTAAAGCAATTTCCTTATTTAAACTGAGATTGTAAAACTCAAAGTCTGGAAAAGGCCCCACAATTCATGCAGTAGTTTCCCCATCTATAAATGGAGGGCAGGGATGCTGTCCTACCTCCCTAAGGTTCTGACGATTAACTGGTCAATATTTGTACTGCCCCTTGCACCATGGGAAATGCTATCTCAGTGTTACGTACGATCGTTAGCAGGATTTTTAATAGTCAAAGTGCTGTACAAAAGACAAATAAACCTTATAACATCCCTATGAGGCAGACATTATTCATTATTTGTACTACTGTAGTGTTTAGGATCCCTAGTCATAGACTAGGATTCCATTGCGTTAGATGCTGTGCAAACCCAGAACAAGAACACAGTCTCTGCCCCAAGGGGCTTACAGTTAAGTATAAGACAATAGATGGAGGCAGACAGACAGGCAGGCTGGGGATTACAAGGAAACAATGAGACGATATTGGTCATCAGGATAGGCAATGATAGGGATTATCCCAACTTTACAGAGCAGAGAGGTTAAGCGTTTGCCTGTGGTCACAGAGGGAGTCACTGATGAGAACTCTGCGGTTCCTGACCCTGGATGCAGCCCTGGAAAGTGCAAGGGTTTCTTTGACAGCATCTGGCTCAGTCAGATTTTACCAAGGTGCAAATTCATAAAACCTTAGCACACCCTTACTTCCTCTTATTTGTCCCTTGTTTTTTAACCTTTAAAAATAACAGATAATTTAATGCTGGGGAAAGGTGCAGGACTGGCATTCTTAGGAACAGGTACAGAGCAGCAGCTGCACTGCAAGCTCATACACTAGCCCAACATGACTCAGACTTGACCTTGAAAAATCACCTCAGAGGGAGATGTGTCTCCAGCCTATTCAGTCCTTAGCTTCTCTACTGAGAGGAAACAATTTGTATCAGTGTGATGGTGGATTCTGTGATGTGGAGGCTTGGCCACTGAGAGCAGAAGTGAGACCCCTGACTCATTCTCTGACTATAGGTCATGTCATCACACATTTTCTTTTAGTGGAAGGGGAAAGGGAGGTCCTATGGGATCTCCCAACCTATGTTCCCTTATTGCACGCTGTGCTCTGCAGCGCAGAGCCCTCCCTCTGCCTAAAAAAGGCTGGTTTGTCTCCCTCCAGAACTCTGCTAAGCCTCTGCAAAAATTAGCCAGAAGGGGTCACTTAAGTGCAATCTAAGACCACTTCAGCCCAGCTTCTTAGCGCCAGCCATTCCAGGGCCTCTCCCAACCCAAGGTCAATGCACTCTTCTCCACTGTGTGGTTGGGGGGAATAACTGTAGTGATGTTTAATGTTCAGTTTGATGACATAAATTAATCTACTCTTAGCCTGATACCAAGGATCCAGCCTCAGCTGCACCCCCAAGGGTCCACAAATGCCATCTTCAAACAAACAAAATATGCAACAAAGAGAAAAACTGAGTGACAAACTCCCAGCAGAACAGACATGGTCTGCCCAGAAAGCTCGTCATGTTTGAATTATGTATAATAAAACCCTTTAGGATAAAGAAAATGCAGTTGGGCACATTAGAAATAAAACTCACTCTGCACTGCAGAAGGCCCAGGG